GGCTGAAACCTACACCCAAAAAAAAAAGGGGGGGGAGCGATTTAATGTGAACTATGTGTGGCTCAATTATGTGTTGGAGTTTATATTAAATGAATATCAAAACACCTGGACCTTTTTCTTTTCCAGATTGAGATGTCGCCATCCCCTGCAGTGCGTGGCAAGTACAAGAACAAAAAAAAGACAGAGGACAGGACGTCCAGTGTGTCGCTTGGGGAGCATGCCCGACTGGTTGAAAAGCTGAGGTCGGCAGAGCAGAGGGTGCTGAGCCTGGAGCAGGAGCCCCAGATAGAGAGGACGCTATCAAGAAGCAGCTGCTGGCTCTACTAGGTAAGCATAGAGGCACTTTCAGTTGCTTACCTCACACACTACACATTATGTGCTCACACTTTATCAGAGGGATCAAAAGTAATTTTAATTTTTTTTTGGTCGCAAACAGAAGTAAGCATATACTACAGGGGTGCCTCAATGTATCAATGAGTTTAAGAGGTGTCTATAATTCTCTTTTCTTCTATTAGGGTGCAAATGGAGCTTTGAGAGTTTGTTTCTTGTTGCCGATGGCGATGAGACCGTTTTGCTCGGCAGCACTTTTGCTTTGATTGAAGAAATATTTTTCTGCAGTTTGTCAAACAATCATGTCCATACCAAGACACCATGGTCTGTGCGCATAGATGAGGCTTGAAGTGAAAGTTTGTTCTGTCGGTCAAAACATTTTAAATATGCACTTTTCGATGAGCCCGGCCAGCACACATCCTTTCGTCATTGGGGAGAAAGGAGTTCTTTTTGTTGAAGAGGAGGGAGTGAGGAAGCTGGTCGTAGCCATGACCACAGCACCAACAAGGCTGAACTTTAATCGGGCGGCAGATTGTTCCTAGTGACGCAACCGTGCAACTGGTTAAAAGGTGAGCAGACGATCTGCTACAGCATTGGATTTCGTCAGAAAGATTGAGCTTATATCTCGCAAACCGTTGGAAATGCTTGGCATGAATATTCATTAGCTATTCACCGGTATTTTTTTGTAAACTAAACAACTTCTCTGCCGCCCACTGCCGGCGAACTTGAGCGCATTTCTTTTCTTCCTCTTTTTTTTCTTTGGTTTTGTTTCTCATCCTTTTGTTTTGTGTCCTGCAGGCGCTACTTTTCCAGTCCCGGTGTGTTACGGAAAAACAAATAAGCACACTGCCGGTAGTCTTCTGTGGCATGAAATACTATGAAGCCCTCATGCCATCAACGAACCAGGAAAGTGCTGAAGTCCGAATAATCAAGCTTGTCTGAATTTTTGGCGTCCGAAAAATCGGTTGACTCCTGTACCGTGTCTTGTTTCTAAAGAGTGTTTTATTATGTTGCAGTGGACAATGTCCCGTCTGGCGGTGTTGGGTCAGCTCCTCCAGCTTGCCCAGCAGTGGTTCCTGCAGCTGGCGCTCCTGCTTCAGTTCACGTAGTGCGAGCTGGTGTGGATCACGCTCGACCCGTACTTGCCGCTGATGCTGCTGCTCCAGCACCGGATCTTGTAGCAGGCCCGCCGGAGGCATTTTCCGAGTGTGTGCCAGTGCTTGCAGAGGTTGATGACGAGGTAAGCTCAGAATTTTATCGAATATTTATTCCAGATATTGGGCAAGTGACTAAATTCTATTGTTTCCACAGCTCTTTGAATGAGGTTATTTGTATGCATCCTTAAACTGAACCATCGGGCTGTTTCAAAATACTGATGAATGTAAAGAGTAGGGCCGGGCATTGATAAGATATTTCTTCCCAATTAATTGGCACTTTTCTGAAACGTTTTCTATCTAGTGTCCTTGTCTTATTTCGAGCTTTTTCATAAATCATGTACCAAGTAGCCCAATTAAAATTGTGTTATAATTGGTACCCTTCTTTCGCTTTCTCTCTTTACTCGGAACTCACTTAAACGGCCACTTACACCCCCCAATAAAAGTTTTCATTTTTTGCCAGCCGACTTATTATGGTTTCGAAAGACTACCAAATTAATCTTTTGCAACAGTCACATATATTTTTATAAAAGCCGAAAAACGCAACTGCTCAGAACCGAAACTGAAACCCGCGCACGGAGGTCGGAGAAGTGGAGAGGAGAGAGTGAGTGGGCGGAAGTCACGTGGCTACACCCGACCGTGAGCTTTTTTGTTTTCCCCTCCGTGTTTTTTTTGTGTGCATAGCAGACGACATGAGTGGCTGGAACTGTTCGCTATGCGATTCCTTTGCAGTTATGTTTGTTCCACTGTCTGTTCTGTACTTCAATATGAGTTGTTCTTAACATTGAGAAGTTGGAAATGAGTAGTGAGTGCCCGTGGTGAATTTCTGTGATCGGTTCCCAAAAGAATACCCCCAAGATGTTGCGTGAAGAGCTGCCTCGCATGTCCTGCGTCCAAAAAAAGTGTCATTGTGCGCCAGACGTCTGCACAAGTTTCCGAAAGATCAATAAGATCGGGACCAATGGCTGGCTGCATTTCCTGTAGAGCATTTCTATTTATTTCTAGGTTCACCTTTGCCATGGTGTCTTGGTGGAAAAGGACAAACTGTTCTACGTGAGGGAAGCCCGGGGAGACTCCATGTTCGTTAAAGAGGCCACGAAGTTAATCTTCGGCAGGGAGAACTTCTATGGGCGGAGTGTGACTGGGGTGCCATGCCGGCGCTTCAAGGGCGCCGTCGCCAAGAGGGCCCTGACTCCAGTCAAGCTGGCTGCAGTAAGTTCCCACTTCTCACAGATGTCTCATACTTGGTGAGTCACTCAAACCTTATGGCTTCTGAAGTTGCAACCTGCTACGTCAAAATTTATGTGATAAAATGTTCCAAGGCTTTCAGAACTTTCAGTGTTATAGGCTGTTGAAGGGTCACAGTTCGACTAGTTCGAGATTTAGGAACGTGAAGCTCCGAGCGCAAAACCGAAATGAAGAAGCCCTATCTCCCTGTTTGTTTTTACTATATATGAAGAAAACTATAGTGACATTGTCACGGTCATCTAGATCGCTTGGTGCTTTCTGATGTACGCACACTGAGGAGGTTTTACAGTAACATGCTCCGCATCGCAAATGTCTGCTAATCCCTGCAAGTTTTGTGGGAGGTCCATGATATCAGTGGCCCGCTCGCAGGACCTTCTGCTGAGGCACTCATTTTTTCTTTTGAAAGAAAAGCTGGCACTAGCAAAGTTCTGAAAGTGAGTCTGTTTCTTCACTAGAACTGCTGCAACCGAACTATGTTTGGCTCTGTCCTTTGAGTACTGCCCATTTTTTCTGAACTCCTTCTCATCGTGGGTGTTCCTCCTTTCTAGTGCTCAGTTTTCTTACCAGGGAACTATCTCGTATGAATAGACCATTGAAGGGTCGTAACACAGATATTAAATTAGTTAAATGATTCTTGATGTCAAATCTGTGTTGTCAATTTATATACATGCCCAGAACAACAATTGCGGGTCAAAATCTTTCTTTCGCACTAAAACTGCCGGTCGAGAATTGTGTGTTCAGAGTTCCTTTCAGTTGTTCCCATGGTGACATTGTTGGGCATGAAATAAGTTAGAGGTTGTAGGCAATCAGAGGCCCGTGTTCATAATTGAAAATACATATTTAGATTTATAGAACATACTTTTATTTTAGTTAACATGCAGGCGAGCTGGTTAAGGATAGATGTGGTAACCCGGGAACATGGGGAAAAAAAAGGGACAGACAGACACGAAGCTCCGGAGCTTCGTGTCTTTCCGTTCCTTTTTGTCCCCTGCTCCAAGGTCTATAATTTTCATAAACACTGAAATGCAAGGAACACACTGTTGCAAGCAAACTTTAAGTGCATAGTTGTGGAAAGTCACACTAGGTCTTTTCGATTTGCTTGAGCTGGCCGATCTAGTTCAAATAGTGTAAGAACTGACTCATTAGATTCAACCGGAAGTTGCTTGGACGCTGAACTGGCCTGTTCGATTTATTCCAGTGCTGCACGAGCTCAGCCTCAGTTCCACAGAATCTTGCGCTGGCCGAAGTCGGTTCAGCGTTCATGCAGAAACAGGTGGCAACTCTTCGGTCTTTCGGAAACCAATTACAGGGTCGTTTGTAACGCTGCAGCTTAAGGTCACGCAGCCGCAGCCCGACTTGCGCACTGCTTCTGCACTCCTCTGAACTCGGTCTGAACTGGTTCAAAACTTTCGGGCCGAATCATGCATGCCTGCTGTTGGGTCTACATCTTCAAAACTTTCGGGCCGAATCATGCATGCCTGCTCTTGGGGTCTACATGGTATCACAAGATATTAACAAAGCATAAATTGTAGTGGAAATTGCTTGCTTATAATTGCAGGAAGTAAAAATATTAAATTTTTCAGGAAACTGTAGATATATATGACTTATTGTTGTATTCTTTTCCCCTGCAGATGCCTTCAACAAGTACCTATGGAGGCATCCTCGAGAGGCCTCTCCAAGGAAGAGGACAGCTCGGGTGAATCTACTGCAGTATGCAAATTTGTTAATATCCTACTGCAGGATATGAACTAGAAGTTTGACTTCTAAGCTTGCTTAGAGGTTAAGCTTCTTGTTGGTGTTCTGCAGATGCCAATTTGCGTTCACTAAATACATATATAACCTGAAATGACCTGGCTCATGCTCATTCTTTGCATGACAAATGCCTGCGAATTGTTAAACCTGCAAAGATACATCCATCCGTTTGCAAACGTTGGACACCATGTTGATTCCTATTACTGCATCAGAACGGATAAACCTTTAAAGATATAGGTTTCTTTATCTGAACAGATGAACATGCATAGATATCGGTTCCTATATCTAAATAGGTCAACCTGTAAGGTATGGGTTCCTATATATAAACGGGTCAACCCGTACAGGCACGGTTTCCCTTATTTAAGCGGGTCAACCCGTACCGGTACGGGCCCCGTATCCGAACGGGTTCCTGTATCTGAATAGGTCAACCTGTACAGGTACGGGTTTCCAGTAGCATACGGGAGACCCGTATCCCATAACACCGTATGAGATATACGGGTCAACCAGTATGAATTTTTATACGGGTTTTTTCAGTAGGGTCAAGAGTGGCAGTTCCATGCACCACCGCTGCCACAGCTCGGAAAGGTCGTCAGGCAGCTCCGCATCCCAGCCGATTTCACGTTCCCACAGCTGCTGGAATATGATCTTGACCCGAATCATGTACGGAGCGATAAGGCCCAGGGGGTCGAAAACTCGAGCCGATGCCTGTAGCACAGAACGCTTGGTGTTTGCTGTAGTGCTGACGAAATGCAATACTCCTTCCATGGGAATCAGCAATTTGTCTTGGTTGTGCCGCCAAACGAGTCCGAGAACCTTCCTTGGTTCTTGGGATGCTTGTGGTTCCTCGGTCTCATCAAATCCACACTGTAGTTCCGCAGCATTGGACGCCCACTTGCGGAGTCGCATTCCGGCTTCACCATGATTGCGTTGGCCTCATTGTGAATCTGTCTGGCTTCACCAACGTCGGAGGCTCCGATAAGTAGGTCGTCCACGTAAGACGCATTCCGCAAACGATCAGCTGTCTCCCTGTGTTGCTCCTTCACGTTATCCAGGTGGTGCATTAGAGTTGCGGTCAATAGAAAGGGGCTTGAGGTGGTCCCCAACGGCACTCTGGTCATTCTTCATTCTTCGATGTTTGCTGCTGGTCCTGATGTTGGCTTCGTTTCGAACCACAAGAATCGGAGAGCATCTCTGTCCTCTGTGCGAACGTCTATCTGCAGGAACGCCTTCTCAATGTCAGCTGTGATGGCGACCTGAAATAGCCTGAATCGCACCAAGATTCCCACCAGGTCGGCGTTAAGCTTGGGGCCCTTTGCCAGATGTTCATTCAGTAAGCTGCATCCCGGCCTATGTGATGACGCATCGAACACGATCCGGAGTCTCGTGGTGCTGGAGCAGCTGCGTACTACTGCCTGGTGCGGCATGTAGTAAACTCGTTGAGTGTCAGCTTGAGGTGCCCGCTAGGGCACCTTTTCCGCATGCCCAGCCGTCATGTAGTTTCTGATAGATCGGTCGTACTCATCAAGAAGCTGCTCGTTGCGGGATAGTCGTTTGAGGAGCCCCTCCAGTCGTTTGTGAGCCATGACTCGATTGTCTTGGAGGTCTTGTCCAGCCTCCTTCCACGGCAATGCAACTTCGTAACGTCCGTGTACCTTCGTGATTGTGCGTTCAAACTGTCTTTTTACAGCCTCCAGTTCCTCGCTGTCGGTTTTCGGCTCATCCGTAATTCCGAGGCTATCGAGCTCCCAAAAGCGACGGAGTGTCGCCTCATTTTCGTCCTGCGCCCGCGTGTTGATCTTCAGAACGCAAACCATCGTGTTTGTACTACCCGACAGGGTGCTGTGCAAGGAAATCGGACCCTGGGTGGTCCAACCGAAAATTTTCTCGATTGCGACCATGCTCTCATTCTCTCTGAACAGACGAACCTCGCCTCGGGTGACCTTCCAAAGCTGGTCCGATCCAAGAAGAAAACTGATGCCACGTCGGGGCTCCGTACCTTGGGTCAGTGTCATGTCCGCGATGAGTCCTCCGTCAGCCTCGATGCTTCTCACGAAGTCGTAGTCCACCGGCACTTGCAGGATGTCGTTGCGAATGGAAGGTACTTCGATAGCCTCGAGGACACACTCTTTTCCGTCATGCTGACTACGAAGGCGCACCTCAGCCAGCCTGCGTCGTTGGGCGCGTGTCGATGTTTCCCCGAAGGTGTTCAACTGAAGGTTCGCAGTACGGATCACTCGGAGATTTAGCTTTCTTGAGACGTCCGTGTGTATGAAAGTCCGCTGGCTTCCTTCGTCGATGACGCCTCGCAAGTGGCTGGTTGCACGATCTCCTACGGCGGAAGCTCGGAAAGTCTGCAGAAGCACCCCCGAGTCCATCGTAACGTTGGAGTTAACGACGCTTGCGGTGTTGAGAATGGTGTTAACACTTTTCGGTGGGGTCCAGTTAGGGTCACACATCGAGCTTGCATGCCTTCCTCCACATGACGCACACTTCACCTTCCGTCGGCAGTCTTTGGCGCGGTGTCCTCTGGTTGTGCATCGGAAGCACCTCATGTCTTCTGCCAACCTCCTTTTCTTCTGTTCAAGTACGAGGTCGCCAGAGCAGGACTCAGATTGATGTTCTGCAGATCGGCAGAAAAAGCAGCCGAGTGCGTTTGCGTTCAGTACAGCTGCGGTTGGCCACGTCGCGTGTCCCCGCCGTTCGATGTAGCCTCACGAGCTGGGGTCTGCCTCGGGTGGCGAGTCTCTGCGGCAATTCCGACTCTCTCCCTGCTCTCTACCTCGACATGAAGAAACCCAAGAATCTCGGCGAGCTCACCTTCGGCATCTTTGGATTGCAGCGGTGAGGGACAGATCCTTGCAGAGGAGAGCGAGTCGATTGAGCGGCCGGCGTCTTGTCCTGTTGCATTCGGTGACGTTGGATTTCTCTCCGACGTCCCGGACGCCCCGTAGGCGGTGTTGCCCGACGGCCGCCTGTGGTAGTTCAGCACAATCACCTCCGGCAGGGCCCTGAGAAGAATATCCGACATCATTGTGAAGTTAAGTCGACGATTCCACACCGAGACCTCTTAGCCCTCGGATATTGGTCTGCACATGGTCGTAGATTTTCCTCAGTCCCCTTGTGTCATTCGCGGACGCCACCGGCGGCAGAGATCGGAGCTTCGCCAGATGGTCTTGTTCAATTCTTCGCCTGTCGCCGAACCGCTGCGTCAGGATGTGGATGGCAATGTCGTCCTGCGTCTGTAGTCCTGCGTTTGCGGCAGCAGCTGGCCCGGTGACGAGTGTGCGAAGGTAGTGGAACTCTTCCGATCGTGTGATGCTGTCGTTGTTGTAAACAGCACCACTGAATTGTTCCCAAAAGCTCTGCCAACCGCTGACATCTCCGTTGAATGTCAGGAGTCGCAACTTCGGGAGCTTCACTCCGCTTGTCCTGTTGGGAGGAGGTACTGAAGCTGTCGCCGATGTGGTCTCGTTCAAGGGCGCCGGCGTTGACAGTCTTTCTTTTTTTTTTTTGTTTTTGTCGTAGCGATGCAATTTTGCAACCCAGCAGCGCTCGAACTCGGGTGGCGTCGTCGTCGTATTCGGATACAGTCGCGTATTCCGCGACGAGCTCTTCTAGTGGCACTTGATCCTCGATCTCCGCATTTAGAGACCGAAGCGACTGGTTGCATGCGCTGATTCGTTCTCGCCAGGCAGTCACCGTGGCCAGATCCGCTGTCTCCAGTCCCGCCGACGCCTCGCTGATGCGCCTTGTGGTTTGCTCCCGTTTGACTCCACGTTTTCCTTTAAGCCACTCCATCGTTTGCCGTTCACGAACACGCACCCAGCTCTTTTACAGCGTTCCAGTGGGGCGGTCACAAAGATAAAAACCGCTCACCTCGTTCGATGTTCTGTCCCGGGTTCTGTCCCCCTACCGAAGGAGCAGCATGGTACCCATGCAGCTCCTGTGAAAGGAGGTGTCAAGACAAGCTTGGGTGACTCCTCGCCCAGTTCGTCCGCCACTCCTCCATCCGGTCGTGGCCGGGGTTTTCCCCCGCGCATGCCAGGCCGGACCAGCTCTGTCATGCTCCATCCATCGGACACTTCCCAGGACATGGAGATAGCAACTGATGCTGACAGTCAGTCTACTCCTGGGTCCGACCAGGACGGTATGGAATGGGAGACAGCTTCTCGTAAATCTAAAAAGAAGCAACCTGTAGTAGCGCCCAAGTGATAGCTTCGATAGCTGTTTTATTGTGATCACATCTTCCACTTAGCTCGAGTTCGCTCTCCATAGTTTTATTTCTTTTGCTAGGTTTTATCTCCTTATATTTACATATTTACACACTTTTTAATAGATGACAAAGTTACATTTTATGCAATGGAACTGTCGCGGTATTTTAAGAAATATTGATGATGTCAATCATTTCATGGATGAGCTTCGACCCATCGCTCTTGCCTTGCAAGAAACCCATCTTCACTCTAATTCTTTTAACATTTTAAGGCGCCATTAGGTTTTCAGGAAAGACCGTCCCGCTTCCACTCCTTCTGGTGGTGTTGCAGTAGTTGTGCAGAGTGGAGTCGCTTGCTCTCAAGTTCCACTCCGCACACCTCTGGAGGCTGTTGCAGTGCGTCTCCTCGTGGACCGCCTCGCAACGCTTGTTTCTTTATACTTGCCACCAAATATTCCTTTGGATCTTCAAGAACTGCAGGGACTTGTAGGACAGCTTCCTCAACCGTTTTTAATTTTGGGTGATTTTAACGCTCATCATCCCATGTGGGGTAGTACCCGTCAAGACTCCCGGGGTAGAGTTATTGAACGTCTTTTGTTGTCTTCTGGGCTGTGTCTTTTTAACGGGAAAGAACCAACTTTTCTTAGTGCGACACACAACTCATTCACATCTATTGATCTTTCTATCGCTTCACCTTTATTACTTCCTTGCTTTTCATGGAAGGTTCTTCATAACCCTTTTGGAAGTGATCATTATCCTATTGTTTTAGAAAGTAGTGTTCCATTGCCTAATCTTTTAAAGCGTCCCCCTAGGCGGAAATTAGACAAGGCTGATTGGACACTTTTTAATCTTCACTGCACTTTAGATCCTTCGATTCTTTCTTCTATGTCACCCGAGAACGTTACACTTCATGTTACTGAGCAGATACTAAGGGCTGCTCAGCGCTCTATTCCACAAACTTCTGGCAATGTGCCAAAAAAATGTAAACCTTGGTGGAATAAGGAGTGCGCCACAACCCTGGCAGATCAAGACAGGGCCTGGGAAAGATTTCGTAGATATCCCACTTCGCACAACCTTGTGGAGTTCAAGCGCCGAAAAGCCAAGGCTCGTTGGACTAGGAAGCGGGCAAAACGGAAGTCTTGGATGAAGTACCTGTCTTCTCTAACTAGTTTTGTCCCTGCCAAAGAGGCCTGGGACAGATATAGGAAAGTAAATGGGGATTATAGGTGCTTTGCCATCCCAACTTTTAATGCTCCTTGTTCGTCATTAAAATACATAGCTAACATCCTCGGAGAACATTTTTATAATTCATCCAGCTCAGCCAACTACAGTGCTAACTTTGCACAGTTTAAAGCCCGTGCGGAGCAACAAAAGCTAGTCGTAACTGGAGGAAAGGCAGCCTCTTATAATCGGCCTTTTACGCGATATGAACTTGAGATGGCCCTTAATGTAAAAAAGCTATCTGCTCCTGGGCCCGATGGGCTTCACTATGAAATGCTTCGTAACCTGTCCACGGAATCCCTTGAAAACCTTCTTCTTTTTTTTAATTCCTTATGGAAAAAGGCTTGTTTTCCTCAGACTTGGAGGCATGCACATATTATTCCCCTTCTAAAACCTAATAAAGATCCTTCACAGCCATCAAGTTACCGCCCAATCGCACTGACGAGCTGCCTCGGAAAAACGTTTGAAAGGCTGATAAACAGGCGACTGGTTTATGTATTGGAACAACAGAGGGCCTTTGATAACAACCAGTGTGGATTCCGCCGAGGTCGTTCTACTCTCGATCACATAGTACGCTTGGAAACTGTGATACGTGAGGCATTTGTAAACCGGCAGCACTGTGTCGCAGTTTTTTTCGATTTTGAGAAAGCATATGATACAGCGTGGAGACATGGGATTCTTCAAGATCTGTATGCATGTAATATCCGTGGCCGTATGCTGCAATGCATAAGGGAATATCTAACAAACAGGACTTTTCAAGTTCGTCTTGGCTCCAACCTATCTGACTCCTACGTGCAAGAAAATGGAGTCCCTCAAGGAGGAGTCTTGAGCGTGACTTTATTTGTGCTAAAAGTCAATTCAATTGCACGACTGCTACCCCCTTCTGTTTCATATTCCCTTTACGCTGATGATATACAGATCTCGTCTTCCTCTTGTAACCTTTCCAGCTGTGAGCGCCAATTGCAGATAGCCATAAACAAACTTTCCAAGTGGGCTGACGAAAATGGGTTTCGGTTCTCTGCATCCAAAACAGTTTGTGTGCCCTTTTCTTTGCGTCGTGGGCTGTCATTGGACCCATCACTGGAACTAAATGGAAACCCTGTGCCTGTCAGGAAAGAGCACAGATTTCTTGGTGTGATATTTGATAAAAAGCTTAGTTTTATTTCACACCTGAAAGCCTTAAAAACTAAATGTCTTCAGTCTATGAATCTTTTGAAAGTTCTATCTCACAAGTCATGGGGTTCTGACAGAAAATGTATTCTACGGTTGTACAATGCCCTTGTAAGATCTCGTCTTGACTATGGTGCGATAGTGTATGAATCGGCCCGGCCATCTGCCCTCAAGATGTTGGACCCAGTTCACCACCTGGGGTTGAGACTAGCAACTGGTGCTTTCCGAACATCCCTTGTCTCCAGTTTATATGCAGAAGCTAATGAGCTATCACTGAACAAACGACAAACCTATCTTAGCCTAACGTATGCTTTTAAGATTCTGGCTGACCCTCAACCCCCTTATTCTTCCCTTACAAGGTCGAGGTTTTCCCGTCTCTTTAACAACAAGCCAAGCATTGTGACACCATTAAGCTCCCGCATTGAAGAACTTTGCACTTCACTGCATCTTTTATTGGACCAGGTCGGCCTCATTCGAAATGTCGACGACCGTATTCCACCCTGGAAGACACTGCCAGTTGCCTGTGACTGGTCGCTCACAAAATTTAACAAACATGGCATTTCCCATGCAGTAATACTGCAAGAGTTTTGTGAAGTACAAATCAAGTATGATGGTTATCTTCATGTTTACACAGATGGCGCCAAGACTTCATCTTTCGTTGGCTGCGCTGTGTATTCAGAACGCTTCTCTAAAGTTAAGCGACTTAATTCGTTTGCTAGCATTTTTACTGCAGAACTCTATGCAGTATCAATGGCAATAGACTACATTCTACATAAGAAAATAACTAGGGCTGTTCTTTTTGTTGATTCTCAAAGTGTGATTGTTGCAGTTCGCTCTGTTAAAGACACTAAAAACATGCTTGTACAACAAATTTAGAGTAAACTCAACGCTGCTCTACATGATGGTCAAAGCATAACATTTTGTTGGGTACCTAGGCACGTTGGCATAGAGGGCAACGAGAAGGCCGACAGGCTTGCAGGGTCCGTGGGAAACCTTGTCCAATCGTCTTTCTGTTTACCATATCAGGATATAAAGCCTTTAGTAAAGTTATCACTTTTTCGTTGTTGGCAGTTGGAATGGGACAGGGAGTGCGGAAACAAGCTCCACGTTACAAAGCCTGTTCTTGGAGCTTGGGAAAGCTCTTCATGCAAGAGTCGTCTTTATGAAACCTTGCTGTGCCGTCTGAGAATTGGGCATTCTTTCATCACTCATAAGTACCTAATTTGGGGGGAAGATCCTCCTATTTGTGATCAGTGTGGTGATTCTCTTACAATTTTACACATATTCTGGTCCTGTCCCGCTCTGGAGCCCACGCATCGTATTTATTTTCCCGAGTTGTTTCAACAACAGATCCCGTTTTATCCGGCCCTCCTGCTGGGGGAGAGTCCCATAGTCCCTTTTAGCAGGGTAATAGACTTTCTTACTAGCATTGGCATTTTATACAAAATATAGCTTTACCAAATCCTAGGTTGCACTTTGTTAAAACTCTCACCAAAGCATGCTGATTGTTACTATCGTTTGGCGCAGATGGCCTCGTAGCTCTTGCGCCATTAAACCCCCAAAATCAATCAATCACGCACCACATTCCAGGGTGCCACGCAGACTGTGTTCTGTATTAAGTTAAGTTCGTTCAGACGAAGTTGAAGTGAGGAACAAAATTGCTCTATACGAAAACTTAACGGTCTGACAATGCTTGGCTTATTTTTAAAGAGACGGTAGAATTGAGACCTTCGTACTGAATGATACGTTGGGTGATCAGGGTTTGCTGGGATCCTAGACGCGTAAGTTAGGCTGAGGTATTGACGTCTTTTACACACCGACATCTTAT